AAACAGGCGAATGGCGCTCTAATCTCACGAACAGAATGGACTGTTCCTGCTGTATAAAGTCAGTTCGGCATTTTGAGATTGTGAGTGTTTGTTGGCGGCCATGTTTTCTGCTCATTTAGCGAGCAGCGGGACTTCGTGTCTAACTCCTGGAACTAAACTCAGTATCAGTTCATGCGAAGTCCCGCTGTTTGTCTGGTAGTGGGGTTCGTTCGGTAAGGGAACGGGGCCACCTGGTAGCAGGGTACTTGACCTGCGGTTAACCGCAGAAACCACAAGTTAATGACCGCCACGCGGCCCACGGTAGGGGGTCGTCGTTCGGTTGTTAGTTCGGTGGATTCTGTTCGGTATTTAGAGGCGAACGTCGATGCCCCCAGGCTTATCAATTACGTTGTGGTTAACCGCAAACCGCAGCTGCCTGGGTGGTTAATGGCTGCCACACGCCGCTGGCTGGGGGGTCGAGCGTTCGGTAGTTTGCGGGGTGACGGGGTTAAGTGGCGGCACACGCCAATTCTGGGGGGTCCCCTGTTCGTACCACGAATGAGTCCTTTATAATGGTTCGGATAATCCGTTCGTGCGTCTTTTCGCTTTAAACTTAGCCAGGGACAAACAGTATCCATCGGTTAGCAAACAGTAACATAGTTAGTTTCAGTCTTTTGTAACAATTATTAGTATGAATCATTATGAAAATAACAGGAATACCATGGGATGAATAATACTTTTTGTTATATATATTCATATTTTAGTAAACCTTGATGCATTAACTCAAGTTGCCATTATCACAGTTTGTCACAGTTATTTTCATTCAAAAAATACAATGGAAATAGTCTATTTTATTTGTGAATATTGCAAGCATTTATTTATTATGTGAATGTTTGTTTCTAAAAAGAGCTATGCATTCTTTTCATGTGAAACTGTGTATTTTATTGTTGCTAATAATGAAATATAATGTAATACCATACCATAAAAGCTGTTTGTTGGAAATGCCATGTGTCATGTAAAAAGCCTAGTTGGTAACGCCAGGTGTTATATAAAGAGAAAAATGGAAAATAGATGTGTACCATGCCTGTGGTCTTAGATGAGAGCAAATCCATTCAACTTCATTCATAATTAGTGGAACATGTTAGCCTTAAACTGTGATAAAGAGGGCATCTCAAACTTGATCTACTTGTGTAATACTGTTTTTACTGCTGCCAAGATATGTTAATCAAATCTTTAGAATTTATTAAACATTAGAAATGTATTATAAAAAAAATGTTACAAATAAAACATTGTATTATATTAGTTAACATTTGAATAAATTCTATAAAAACTGTATCGGGTTGGTCCCAAGCAAAAACTGTCATAATCTGATACACATGTCTATAAACAGCAGGTTACAGCAATGTATGCTTTATGTAGCATCTGATAAACATCTCTATGATGAGGTGATGGGGATAGCATCTAGTCATCGGGTCTGCTAAGGGGGGAGTGGAGCAGGAGGTCAGTTGCCCCTTGTGCCACTAGCATGGGAGGACTGGTAAGGGATTGTGGGCTCCTGCCTCAAATCATTTTTCTGAAAATTTAAAATTGTAAAGGTCTTTTAGTATGTCTCTGTAAACAGCTCTACAGAAGAGGCACAAAACAGAAGTTGTGTAGGAACTTTGCTAGCCTGGCATTGTATAGGTTTGTGCATGGGCCGATGGCCTGGGCCTTGACTGTCCTAGGATATTTTGCAACATCTAAGGCTGACCATGCTGACAGACTACATTGTGCATATATGATATCCATGGAAATGTTTGCCAGTGACTGCAAGGGTATAATGTCACAGTGATCATGACATTCATAATATATGCAAGTTGTCATTAGTAGCAATGGAGTTAGTTGGAAACAGAGTCTGCATCTCCTAGGCTGTTAGATCTCTGAATGCTCCATCATAATGTGCAGATCATACTGATAGAGATGTCAGAGCAATATGATGGCACACATTGCAATTCCAGCAATCTCCATATGTCATAAAGATATATATCCCATGCATCACACAGGTAGACTCAGCACAAATTGTGACTCAGCACAAATTGGAGTATTCCTATTTAAATAAAATTTTAACATTTTAATTTGAAAGCAGGTAAAAAAACAAAATTCTTAAGACAAGTATTTTTTCCAAGGGTTTGGACAATGGGAGATATTTTTATAGTAATGTGGAGGAAATTCTGGACTGAAGTGAATGCCTTTTATCTCCACTAACCTGTTATACCAGAAACTTGTCTTTAAGTTATGAAATATTAATTTAAGAGAATGGGCATGAAAATTAGTCTGAGACCTCAGAGGATCTATAGGTCAGGGATCTCAAATTCTGGCACCCGGATGTTGCTAAAATACAACTCTAAATGCCGGCAACTTGCTGGCCATGTGCTTCAATTATATTCCCTCGGGCTGTAACAATCTGTGACAGCCTGAGGGAATGCAGCACTGGGGGCTGTCTGTGGCTGGAGGGAGCACTAACAGGCTCCCCGGCACAGGCCCCGCCCCCAAACGAAGCCCCGCCTCCCGCACAGAAGCCCCGCTCCCACTGTAAAGCAGCAGACCATGCTGCTGCAGAAGATGGCTGCCTGACCCCCAGCAACAGCCTTCAGTGACAGGTAGGCTTGGGGGGGGTGTGTGTGTTCACACACTCTACACACACACTGCCCCACACACTGCCCCCCATACTGCCCCCATACACACATTGCCCCCATACACACACACACTGCTC